GTCATTCGGACACTCGACACCCAATGACTGGATGCGCACGCCGTATTTAGCAATAAGTTTTATATCTTATATCCTAATGACCTGTGTCATACATACATCGCCGACTCAGACAAACATGGATTTTGTAGAATGATCCTTGTTACTCCTTACTGTCATACACATCGCGGCTCGCGCCTCGGAACCTGTATCATACACGCATCGACAACAACCCTTGACTCTACCCGCCTCAATGATCCGCGTCCGCGTCGTGTAATACAGACATCGACACCGCTGATATTTGCCTTAACACTCCCTCTCGCCCTGTCATAAATCGTGTTCATACACCTTGCGGCTCGCGCCTCGGAGCCTCTGTCATACACACCTCGACAACAACCCTTGACTCTGCCCGCCTCAATGATCCGCATCCGCCTCGTGTCATACAGATATCGACACCGCCAGTATCCTCCCGCTCAACCTGTCATAATAATGTTTGCCGCTGAATGACAGTGCTTGATGCCTGTTATGGTCATATATCTTGCGGCTCATGCGTCTCAGCCTGTGTTATACATACCTCGTCAACGAACCTCCGAATGGCCTGCTTTCGCATCGTGTCATACATACCTCGACACCGCCGATACTCACCTTTCTTCGGCCTGTTGCTTACTGTGATACATATCACGACTTAGAGCCGGGGCGCCACAACCTCCCTGCGGCACTTTTCTTTGACTATGACCAGGCCCCGATGTAACTGTTAGTGTAGACCCATGGTCAAAGGGTTAACGTGTATGACAGTTCACTAAGATTTTTTTTCAATCGCGGCGCATGACACGGGGTTCAATCCCGATGTATGCCCTCAATTCCATCCAGGCAGTGTTACCCTGCTCGCGTCAGTTTCCAGGCGGGTCAGCAATTGATTACACAGAATTAAGTAACGGTATTGTATGATACACAAGAGGCGTAACCAGCGGTGGCCAAACTATGCGAGCATGTCACCACTTTGGAGAGTTCGTGGGTATATCGGCCAAGGAAGATTGTGAAGCGACGGGACAACTTGACGAGTGGCGATGGATACGGTACAACAAGACGTTCAAGGCGGTATGATGGTCAAGCTGTGATAGATAAGACGGGGGAATGGGGTGTTTATGCAGTCTTGGACTTGCGAACACGCCTGGCACATGAGGGGTGAGCAAAGAGATGAACCATCCTGAGCGTAACTCACTTCACAGGCACACTATTTTCATCGTTGATAGCGGCGTCTTTTGCTTGACGTCTTAAACGGAGGCGGTTGAGTAATTTGAGACCAGCGCAGATGGGTGAAACCTACTTCTGTTTACGCCCAGTTTCTTTGGCATCTGCGCCAGCGTGCACCTTTGTCGCCAGCGTCAAAACCCAGGTCATATCCTCCACGGCCTCTAGAACTTTGATGTTGACCCCGCCCTCATTACGGGCCATGGCGCCAAGGTATATCCATACCAAGGTCAGTATCACAACGACCACTCCGTTTTTACCATTTTTGATCTCCGGAAACTCGGTGATTTGACCGCGGGGAACTGCGCGTGAAAGGGGGGCGCTGGGGCGGCAGCGCCAGCTTGGTTGCAACGAAATCCACCAGGCATTCCACGAGTAGAAATCTCTTTGAGGCGCGTCGCAGGTAACCATGTACGTCGTGCGCTTGGGGTTTTTGATCCACTTGCTGGTCATCTCCGGACGCATCAAGGCCTTCGTAATGCTGTTCTAAGCACAAGTATAGCATTAGTCCAGTTCGTTGGCAAGCAGTATAGATAGAACTCACCCGGTTGAGGAACCGAGCCTTGGCTTCGAATAGGATGTAGGCCCGAAGCATGTCGCCAAAGACTGGCTGGGAGACAGCCTCTGCAATGAACATGACTGCACCCGTGAAGTATTCTGGTAGATCGGTAGACGCGCCGATGCTCCGTAAGAGATCGGAAGTAGGTTGGGAAAAGTCAAGTGTGACTCCCTGGGCGCCGGTGATTTTGATCTTCTGAGTCCGAGACGATGTACGGGTTCGGCAAACAGTGCGTGCGGATGCCGGCTGCAGGGCATTCTCCTCCTCTTCCAAGTCAGAATTAGTGACGAAGGTGTTGGTATGATTCAAGAGTTCGTCCTCGGGTTCTTCTGTCGCAGACACGACTGTGGGCGCAGGGCCAGGAGGGGGTGAGGAGCCAGAAAGCTGCACAGGAGTCGTCGAGGACGACGCGCTTGCGGATTCTCGAGGAACCGGCGACCCAATGACAATGCCCATAGAAGTGACAGCCCCGGGGCCTCCGACGACCGCGGGTGCAGCGGGGAGAGTCAAAGTAAGGACAGGTCCGATCTGAGGCAAGGATTGAACAAGCGGCAAAGGAGGCGTCGAGGATGGAGCGCTTGCGGACTCTTGAGGGACCGGCAACCCGACTACGATGCCGGTAGAACCGACATCCTCGGGGCCTCCAACGATCACGGGCACAGCGGGGAGAGACGAAGTAAGGACAGGTCCGATCTGAGGCAAGGATTGAACGAGCGGCAAAGGAGGTGTCGAGGATGGAGTGCTTGCGGACTCTTGAGGGACCGGGACAGATGATGGGTTTCCGATATGGCCATGATCCGAGAAAGATATGAGTCCGCGGAGCTGAGGATCGATCAGAGCGTCATCTGTGGGCTTGTTGACTGAACTGAAAGCAGTATCGTGAGGTCGCGTAGTAAGGGCAGCAGGAGGTGCACATCCCATCGGCGGGGTATTCTCGTCGGCTTGCGGGAGGATGGTAGCAAACGTGGCAGATGATGGGCCGGGCTTTGAGGGACTGTCTGCCGCGATTACAACACGGCGGCGCATGCGTTCCTGCGTTGCTGTGAAAAGGTGTGAGAACATGCACATGGAGCGAAGGCTATACTGACTGTATGAACCTTCACAAAAGGCTTGAAATACGTCGCGCCAGTCGTTCTTAAAATCCGAATTGTCGTCGACGAATTCATGACCAAGAAGATTCTTGCCCGCGCCGTAGCTATTGAAGTCGTTCAGGTATGCGCACAAAGTATTTGCTGAAGTGACTCACTACATCGTCTGAACTTCGGCGTTTTCTGAGCGCGGGAAGGGTCCGCCGACCATAATAGAAATCTGGAGACCGGTTTGTCGGTGCCAGCTCTCTGCTGCTGCTGCTATCGTGTGCGGTAGATTGTCGATAGCCCTGGAAGTCAAATCAGCATGGGGACAGTTATGTGGACAGTGGACTTACTCCATCATGCGAAATGCGCGGCGCATATCCTCTGTGTCCTCGGTGCCTTCAGGGAGGACAGGATCGTCTTTGTGGAGATATCCGCGTTGACGATACTCTTCAACGGCTTGGACAGTTTCTGGATCGGCAGACTCCAGATGTTTCTGCGCAAACTGTCGTTGGAAGTCGACCTGATACCCAAAGCATGAGTAGGTGGATAATGACACATAATAAAATGAATACCTGTCTTTCCTTCGTCCAGCCCTCGTTCTGGGCTTGCTTCCAGGCAGCTTTGTACTCGCGGCGCACCTCCCCCCTGCTGTAGCACACGCGCTGCCAGGCCTGGTACTCTTGCGGCTTTCTCGCCTTTGTCTCGAGCTGGAGCACGCGCGATCGTACAGGACGCTTGACGCCGGGGATCTCAGGACCAGCGCCGCGCTCACGGCTGTGGTTAGCAAACCAAGTCCTGATTTGCTGTAGGTTCGTGTCAGTATCAATGCGTGCTCCAAAGTGCAAGAAGTCCACTCACGGTCTTACGCTCCGCGCGTCGCTGCACACAGTTCTCATGCACTGTGGCATGCGAGACATCTCCTCCACATTTTGCAATCTCCTCGGGAGTCGGATCCATAGGGAAGGCTCGGAAGAACAGTGGAGCTATCATCGTCATAAAATCAAGCTTCGACTTAGAGTTCTGGTATTGTTTCAGGTACGCCTTCATCCACTCATTCTCCTCTTCAGAGAAGACGCTGCAGCGAGTCATGATCAAGACGACAAGCGGGATAGGCGATATGCAAGGACAATAAGGCAAGTGATGTTGAAAAGGCGACGGTGTATAACTGAACACGACAAGCACCTCTAGCTCCCTTGATATAACCGTCCGTCGCACGTTGCTTTACCATCCTTACAGCCAGAAAAGCAAGTTGCTACCTGCTTCCGCTATTGCCATCCTCGTGGTACTTCCCCAATTTTATTGAGGGCCGTTCCTTAGTTACTTCTGTCTGAAACATCTGCACAGATCATCGCGTCGTTACAGGCTTCACTCAGTATATCAGCGCACCCATCTCCCTTCATGGTGCCGAAGATTTGTCGGAGTGCATGGCTGAATAGCTTCGTATCCCATCGGGGTATCAGCAGCCAGCCTCGTGTCGTCCCTTCACAAGCCGGGATCCAAGTGGAACTAGCAAACTCACGTCGGGATATGCTCTTGACGTCTCCAGCGGCTCCTAATATCTCAGTGTACTCATTGTTCCTCATGATGCTCAAGGCAAGTTTAAGGACTTCAATGAAGAGCTCTCGAACTCATCAAAACGAATGCGGCGGAGCTGCATGCACTCCGCAAAGATTCCGGCTGGTAATCGGTGAGGTTTCTGTAGATCAGCCTCATGTCGTTCGAAGCTCGACTTACGGCGCTGGCTTGTCCTGTGGAATTTTCAAATCCATATTTGGTTTCGCAGCGCATGCACCCACTAATCGGCGGAAACAATGTTCAGCGGCAAACTTCTCATATACCTCCACCGATGATCACTTCACATTAAGGTTTGGCTCCACGTTCCTCGGCTTCTGCCGTTCTGTTTGACGCCGCTCATGGGACATCGCCAAATACGACCTCCTGGTCGACTTGCAAGGAACTTTCCAACTGAACATGCTCAGCGCTCGCCCATTATGTAGCTACACCTCACGTTGTGGGCTGTCTTCAAGATACGCTATCGCCGGTCAACTGTCCGAGCCGTTGTGATAAAAGAAGGCACCTGGGTTGCTCAGCCAGTCTCAACTCAACTCTTGACTTGCCCCCTCGCTCTCGCTCTCCCTATGACTAGGCAAACCATCACCGCTGTTGTATGTTTGGTCATGGCCTGCCGTACTCAGCTGACGTTCACTCAACAGACTCCAGAGGAGTGCGAGCTCATCCTCGCACAAATCAGCTCCTTGGTCAATAGGCTGCAGCTTGGTAAGTTTGCCGTCGGACGTGTTCCGCCAACAACTTACCAAATTAACAGGCAATGGCGACAATCGCCGTGGCACCGGCCCCGCCGATGCCGCCGAGTCCGCCGATTCCGCCGACGACAACGACAACGACAACGACAACGATGTCCGCGTGTCCATCAGCCGTCCCCCAACCCCGCCTCCTTCGGCGAGTGGCTCCACTTCCTGCCCCCCTCTTGCTCCCACGTACCACACTGTTGCACACGACCACATTGGCTCGGTTCGTGTGGGATCTTCCGGGGGGTCCACTATCTCGGTACACGCCTCCGGCCCTACGGTCATACCGATTCTCCCCAACGCGCATGCTCTTAAGGTATCCGCTCACGACTCTGCTGTGTTGACGGGCAGCTATGCCTATGATAGCGAGTATTTCGAGCCTTGGGATGCCAAGTCTAGCGCGCCTGTCGCCGTTGCTCCGGCCGCGACTGGGCCTTGGTACTCCGTCGTCCGTGGAAAAGCGGTTGGGGTCTTTGCCATGTGGTAAGACTTGTCGTAACTTCTGAGGCTACCACGCAACTGATTCCTCGGTAGGGAAACCGTATCTCCTCTCGTCACGGGCGTCTCAGGTGCAATCTACCGCCGCCACTCTTCTCGCCAGGCCGCAGAGCAGGCCTTCGAAACCGCGCTTCAGGCTGGTAACGTTGCAGTAATTTTTTGAGTGACACATGACACCGACGCTCTGCGGGCTGCGCTTCTTGAGATGCTATCTGTAACTGTACACTACGCAAAGTCTGTTTCGGTTCGATTTACGCTCCTGTTGTGTTGAATGTCTCTACCATCCCCGCTCCGTCGTGGACTTCACTTCCTGCCCCCCCCGTCGCATATCTTGTGTGGACTGACATGTGCTATGTAATACCGTATATACTTAGTACAATATATCTTATTCAGTCGCACCTTGGAGTCGTGAAAGAGCCAGCTGTTGAGACACGAGGCTAGCATCCGCCATGCCATGGATCCCAAGCCTCCAAGACCGGTCTATGGTCTGGCGATGTCGCAGTCATCTTCTAAGTGTTGACTGACATCGAGAGACCATAGACCCCTCTTCTTGCAATGCTATATAGATTGGTACATTGTACGAAACATGTCTTTATCTCAAATGGTTACTGTTTCCTGTCGAGTATCCGATCCACCACTCCGGCTCCGTCGTATACTCTGTTGCCTCACCGGGTTGCATATTTTGTATGTGGAATGTCATGACTACATGCTATTCTATGTATTGGATACAGTATGTTCTGTTTGATCACATCTGAAACGGACGGGGGGCTGAGCTGATAGATGAGGTGGAGAGACACAGCGCATGCACTTACCAGCAGCTCAGAGATTGGTCTAGTCCTGCGATGTTGCAGTCACTCAGTTGCATATTTCAGTTCCCAACCCCGTTGTGTATCCTGTGTAGACTGACATGTTCTACGTGATGCCCTTTCTATTGCAATGCTACCTGGATTCGTACACTGTACGAAACATGTCTCCATCTAACTGGTTGCCGCTTCCTGTTGTGTATTCGATCTAACGTTCCTGCTCGGTCGCATACTCTGTTGTCTCGCCCGGTTGCACATCTTGTGTTGAGTAGCACGACTACTTAGCACGCAGAATACTAGGGACAAATCTGTTTCTCTCGGTAACATTTCAGGCTTGTAGGAAATGTGTTGTTGAGACACAACACATGCATGGGAATGAAGTGTATCAACGGCTCGCCACACATGACATCTGACAGAAGGTACCGCACATTTAGTCCGTCTCGTGTATCGGCAGTTAGGAAGAGTCTTAGCGTCTGCATTGTAGTATGGCATAAATTACTTGATACAGGCTGCTTTGCGAATTCAGTGGAATGTTTCGCTAAAACACTAGCATAGAGTCTAGATACTCGATCTTTTGAGGTGGGTGAGACAACTTCGCATCATTTCTGGAAGTATCACTGCATTTAGATCAGCCCCGTGTGTACTGACAGAATAGATGTCCATACCGGCTTGGATACACTACAAACAACACCCTCGTTCGTGAGCTACACCGGTGGATAGGTAGGGCAATGTGCGCTTACCAGCGATCCGGTTGCACTCCGATCGGCATTGTCTTCAGGATCACACCGGCATTACTGTGCCGACTTCGGCATTACTGTGCCGACTTTGGCATTACTGTGCCGACTTCGGCGTGTCAGGCTAGCGCCTTCACTCCGCTTTCGGCTGTACAGTCGTTGTTGCCTGTGCATCTTGTACTGAGTATGTCTAAACGAAAGAAATTGCCGACATTCCTGTCTGCCTCGATCTCTCAACCATCCGTGCCCGCTCAAGTGAGGTCGGTCATCTTGAAGTCCAAGAAGAACGGCCGACTCAGTACATCCGCGTCCAATACCCCGTCAACCTGTCCGGAACAACTGGAGGCAGCGCCTCTGACCGAAACCGGGAGCAATGTAGCGCACGAGGACTCTGAGCAGACCAGCAGCGGTACGGATCCATATCAATCGCGCAAGAAAGCACGCACAGGCAACCCGGAGCCGTCAACAATCGGAGTGAGTCGACCGCCCTGCGTCACCAAACGTTGCTGAATTCCTCATCATCCAGAACCGCATGCGTTCTTGGATTCCATATCGCGATGAATATCTAGGCAACATCATCGCACGCGAGGCCCTTTTGACCGATCGGCCAGCACCGTGCATCGAATGCGGTGACCCAACATCAACAGGCCTGTACCGCTGCAAAGACTGCTATGGTGATCGGATGCTCTGTGAGGCCTGTGTTTTGAATTCTCACAAGTGGCTCCCATTGCACAATCTCCAAGTACATTGTCAAGATCGAGACGGAGCTAAGTCCGACGCCGGAGGTGTGACGTCCGGACCTAGCGAGATGATTGTCGGAGTCGAGTCGGAAGAGAGTCGGAGAAAGTCGGAGGAAGTCGGAGCAGAGTTTCGAGATACAGAGAGTGAGCGCGAGTACGGACCAGACTCAAGCTTTAAGGCTTGAGTCGCTACGCGCTCTAAGTCCGTGTCGGAGCAGAGGAGTAACTTAGTCGATATTCGAACTAAGGAGTTAGAGTACAGGAGCTAGGAGTTTATATACGCGGAGGCACGGTTCGGAGCTCGTATCGATAGGGAGTTATCGGAACTATGAACCATGTGGAATAAGGAGTTATCGGAACTATGAACCATGTGGAACTGTCAATCGTAAGGACGGAGCATATGGTTACAAGCTGATAATCGGAGGTAGAATAAGTCCGAAGGGAATATCAAACCGTTAAAGGCATATCGGTCGTGAACGTCGGAGTTGAATCCGTTATGACTCGAGAACTACCGGGACGTTGAGTCGCCGGAGGACTATTCATGTGATAACGTAGGTCCGGTACCGGAGCTGCTACTCCGATGGCGGACAACCCGGAACGACCGGAGCTATCGTACTTGGCCCGGTTATGGCCCAAGATCCGACACGTGACATACATCGCCTGTCATCCTCACAAATGTTATCGTTGATAATTTTTTAGATGTGGGCTGGCGGATGCTTTCAGTCGGTGTCCCTCCAAGACCTCGGACTCAAGGTGCAACTTGGGCACCCCGACGGCAAACCTTGCTGTAATTCCGTTAAAGGACACGCGAACTTTCTGATATTCGACTCCGAGGATACCACCTGGTGAACGGTTCTCTACTGTGACTGCAGCTGCCCGAAACACGTTCTCAAAGGGA